TCCAGTCTCTCGCAATCTATTAAATGTCAACATAAACACTCTTCGGTTTGGCACTCTTCTGTTTGGAAATCGTCGTGCATATTCTCGCACCGCCTTTAAAGCATTACCGTTGCAGAAACCGTATACAAAAACCATATCAGCATATTCACTATTAGAATACGTACGCGGCATATTGCAAAAGACAAAATTCATCTACTGTTAAAGGCTTTCAAAGAGCGACTGACAAATTCATAACAGAAAGTGGAAAATGTAATCAAATATGTCGGTGCTAGATATGGCAAGAAATGTAAACATTTTTTTTCGATTTCTCTGAAACGGAGCAAAAACGAGCATATGTCTATAGGACTTTTTTTCTTAGTTTTTTACTCCTCTACACGCTCCCGAAGTTTTGCCATTTAATTTGGAAACACCCTGTATATATACATATGCATTAATAATTATGTTTAAATGTAAATATAGAAAATAAGCAAAAAATGTTTACTTTATGTAGAAAAATTAGATGCCTAGCTTTAAGCTTGTTTTTTTTCATTTGTACAATCCCAGGAACAAGCTGACGTTATTTATCATTATTTTTACATCAAAATGACGTCTTCAACGTGAAAATAACGTCAGAATGTTTGCTAGGATGTATACCCAAGGACTTCGATTCTTTCCCTCTGAAATTTTCACAAACTGAGAAATGACCACCAATGACCACCTTTTTACATTAATGCTCATAGTCCGTGCGCGATTAACGACACGACTCTTACGTCCGCTTACAAATAAATTTGACGTAAAGACGAAATAACCTGAATTTTTGGAAGTTTTAAAAAAGTAATCGAAGGAAAGAATCGAAGTCCTTGAGTGTACATACATATATGTTTATATTTATGTTCAGGTGGCTTCTCTGAATGCAGCTATTGAAGAGCTTACAGAACGAATGACTGCAGCAAAGAATTTAGAAAAGGAAAGCACAAAACGTGCAAAGGACATAGAAATTCAGTTAAAGGATGCAGTGAATATTCGTGAGAAACAATTAAAGGAAGCTGAGAATCAATTAAATATCTTGAAGAAAAAATCGGAACAAAGTCGCAAAGAATGGCAAAAGAGAGAACAAGAGTCGGAAACACTTGAATTAGAAATAAAAGAATTAAAGAAAAGTATTGAAAATGGTGATGAACAATTACTTCAAGTAAATGAGAAAAACAATATGTTTGAAGAAAAAGGAGAAACTCTTCAGCAGCAATTGCAAGAAACCAAAAATAAAGTTACAGAATCGCAAAATAATATTAAGAAACAGAAAGACATTATTAATCAACAAAACAAAGATATACAAAGGTTAATAGGAAGAAAAGAAGATATTATTAAACAAAATAAAGATCTACAATTGGATATAAAAAAATTAAATCACGAAATTAATGATATCAAAAAAGGTGCAGCAGAATGTAAGCAGAAAGTTTTGGAACTCACAAGGAAGTATGAGTGGATTGAGCAAGAGAAACCTTATTTTGGAAAAAAAGGTATTTACAGAGATAAATGTTGTTTAATTAACTTATTGATGTACATATACATCATGTTATATTTTTAGATGGTATATATGATTTTGAAGTTAATAAACCAGAAGAAATGGAACAAAAAGTACGTAATTTAGAAGCAATGCATGAAAAGTTAAGTCGTAATATAAATACACGAGCAATCAATCTTCTCGATAAAGAAGAAGAACAATATAATGATACATTAAAAAAGAAAAGAATAGTCGAGACCGATAAGAATAAAATTCTTGAGACAATTAAGACTTTGGATGAAAAGAAGAAACAAACCTTGCTTAAAGCTTGGAAACAGGTATAATTCTTTTTTGAAATTTACTCCATTATATCAAATCATATATTTAAAAAATCTAATATTTTAAACTTGCTACGTTTTATATGTTTATTTTGTATGGTAATTGGTAAATTATATATTTAAATTATATTATTTTAATCTAATATATAAATAAATTTATTTATACTTAAATAAAAATATTGCAACTGCAATATATGTTCACAATGTATGAAGTATATCGATTTTGTATTTCATTAGGTAAACAGGGATTTCGGTTCTATATTTAGTACTTTATTATCGGGAGCCGAGGCTAAATTACAACCACCAGAGAATGAAACAATAACAGACGGTTTAGAAGTGAAAGTTGGATTTTCGGGTGTCTGGAAAGAGTCACTAGGAGAATTATCTGGTGGTCAAAGATCCCTAGTTGCTTTGTCATTAGTCTTAGCTATGCTTCTTTATAAACCTGCACCGCTTTATATTCTGGACGAAGTAGATGCTGCTCTAGATCTTTCACATACAGAAAATATAGGTACAATGTTAAAGAGACATTTTAAACATTCACAATTTATTATTGTATCCTTAAAGAATGGTATGTTCAACAATGCCAATGTTTTATTTACAACTAGATTTATTGATGGTATGTCAACAATAAGTAGAAGTGAAAAAGTAAGATCTAAATAATTATACATAATAAATTTTGACAAACTCAGTGCTAACATTGTTTTTAATTATTGTATTTAAGTGAAACTATTTTATATCGAGACGTTTTGTTCATCTACAAAATAAGTTTGTATCTCCGTTACATAATAAATATTTATACAATTATTATAACAAGCAATGAAATTTATAAATTCCCTAATAAACATTAAGTTTAAGAAATCATATTTAACCAATCAGTTCTTGCGAAAAACGGATGACGCTTTATTTCATCTATCGTCAGTCGCTCTTCTGGATGATATTTTAACATCTGCAATCACAATTTATAAATAATGTTATACAGAGTTTATTATTTCTTAAACATTAAAAATCATGAGATTAATATTAAAGTGCAGCAGAATGACACAACTTACGCCACATAACAAAGATTTTGCACTTTTCGATAATCTGCTAGGAATGTTGATTGTAGAATGTGAATGAAATGATCCTGGATGATTTCTGATAAACATCTGTGAAACAAAAAGTTAAACTTTGGTATTATGAAAGGTATATAATTTTTTTATAATTAATGTCCAATTTTCAACATACAGTGCCAGTAAGTAGTTCATACAAAATAACTCCGAAACTCCAAACATCTGTAGCGGATGTAACAGGAATGGTCGGAGAAAACATTACTGACTCAGGTGACGAATATGGATATGTTAATTTAGATAATTCAACATTGTGCTGTGGTATAATATAAGTAAGCCGGATATGTCCTGCGTCATCCAGAAGAATATTATCAGATTTGAAATCGAGAATCATGATATTTTGCTGATGAAGTGCTTCTAAAGCTAAAAGAATTTCAGCTGCCCATGACCGAATTACAGTTTCCGGTACTTGCCAAAACTCCTGTTCATCTATATTATTTTCTTTAGTCATATATTGTGTCTCATCAATGTTATAATTAATGTTTGATGAATTTATCTGATCGGATATACTTTCAGTATTATTGTTCTCACAGATCTGTAATACATTATTGGTCAAGCCATTCTGCATTGAAATAGTTTTTGAAGTAGAATTGTTATATAATAAATTGCCCATTTTATTATTTTTGAGTGATTCGCGAGTCGCATAACTTCCATTTAATACAGGTGCACAAATTTTTCTTGACTCATTTGAATTTTCGTTATTGTTCATTAATAAAGAATTATTGCCTTTCAAATCTTTATTCTTTATGAAACCTTTTGTCAAAGGATTCTCTGCAACAATAATGTCATCTACTTTTGTATTACTAGTATTTAATGATTTATTGTGATAAACATTAGATAACGTAAGATCTGATTCTTGAGGGATTTGTGTAACAGTCTTCGCATTCAGCGATGGTGTACTTTCTGAATGTCTCAGTTCCTTACACTCATTTAATCGATTTGCAATAGAATTGCTTTTCTTTAATGTTGCACTAACGGATTGTAATAATTCTTGCGATTTTTCTAATAATTGTATAGTAGGCATTTCCATATAGATCTCACTTTGATCATCTGTTGTACATCGATGATTTCCCTGTACTTTATTGTTTTCTCTAACTATATCCGCTTTATTTGGTTCATAAATATTTTCATTGCTGCTGATTTCTCCATTGACATCTTTATTTATATATGTGTGATTTGAAGTTACATCATATAGACTGTCAAATTCTTTGTAATGTAATCTTATGAAGTCCCATAGTCTTCCACAACTATAACATAATGTAAAATACATATAATTAATATTATATAATATATTACAAATAAATTTGATATTGTACCTTGCATATTGTAGGATTAAAAATATAGTAGTCTCAGTTTCAGTACATGCATATAAATGTACCATATATGGTACTTGTTTATGTAATACATAATTGCTTACACTATCCTCGTAAATACAAGATTTTTCTACAGTCTGAAATTATAAATTACAATTACAAATTTAAAAATATTGTATATTAACTATTTATTACTATATTTGATATATTTCAAAGAAATATATATTATACTATATTTAATATATTTCAAATATATATTATACTAGTCCAAATTTATATTTATTCCTTTATATATAATAAAAAATAAAATTTATATATAAATCATATATGATAGCTAAATAACCTTGATTATTCTTTTACAATTTGCACGTATATCCATTACGAGCATCACGGATTTCATTATTTTAAGCACTTTATAATATTGAAGCTCAGATATTGGCTTTTTTTTTTTTTAAATGTTACAATTTAAATGTTCGTTATATAACTGTTCAGCCCGTGCTAAATACTTTGATATCTTATCTTTTATGCCTGGTACTCTTGTACTGTCTGGATCAAATTGTACACCGTTTATCAGACATGATATTCCCAGTTTGTATTGTGTAAAAGCTTCCTCATATTCGGCTATAGATTCATGTTTAAAGGCTGCACTTATGTGAGCAGCTGCTATTAAGAGATACTGTGTAGAATCTGGCTGTGCCTGTGAATCATTTACCTCCTCTTGTATTATTACAGAATATGTAGAATGTGTATCATAATTTAAAAAGGGTTTACTGATATTGTTGTTCAGACTATCAAATCCTGATACATCGCTGAGTGTTACCATGTTGTTCTTATCAAAACTTTTGTTTTGATGTGCATCATATTCTTTAGTAATAGCGTCTTGCATTTGTAATTTTGCTGTTTTACAGCTTTCTTTTCTATTAACGTTAGCATTCTGTAAATTAATACTGTCATGAGAGTCATTCTTTCTTCGATGTGCAAATTCATTCTTGTTTGCACAAATAACATTTGACAAAGGACATGGATTTGTTAATACATTATGAGATGCTTTTAATGAACATGGAATTTCAAAGGTACTTTGCACTGTATTATCATTTACAAGCACAGGATCACTTAAAGCAACACGATCATCTTCAGACGTGTCTGAGCTCAAGGAATGTGCGCAATCACTACTATAAGTATCTGCATGACTAGTTTCAAAGAATGTTATAAATATATCGCTTGAATATAAGTACGAGTATCGTCCTACAAATTCCAAAAACTTAAGAGCATATTTCTTCCTCTCCTCTACGACTTCGGCTTCAAATCTGCCAAAATATTTTGATTTGGGAAAAGGTGGAAAACTTTCTTTGGTTCCAAAACGCTTGTGCAAGTGACCGAGTTCTGCATGAAGCTTTTTGAAATCATTATAACGCTTCCACACAGACACTTTTGACACTTCTTCATGAGAGGATTTCAGAAATACCTAAAAAAAAAACAAGAAACTTAATATCGAAATCTAAAAGGAAAATATTGTCAGGTGTCATGTATATATATGTACCATAGAAGTAATTTTATAAATTGTAAAGCCCTTCTTGTGCCGCTTTGTTTCAGTAATTATAAAACGTCTAATCCATTTATCTTTTGCAGGTGCCATCACTTAATTCATATTGATCAGTAGGATCTTTCTTACTTAAACAATACTGAGATTTCTAATCTGTTATAATTGTGTAAAATTAACTAAACGCAAAAAATAATTCGTTTGTTCCCTTGTTTCGTTATACATTATGTTATATTTGCAGAGTAACAATAATAATAATATTTTTATTGGTACCCGTGTGAGATCGTTTACGTTTTACGTTGTTCGCATTTTCATACGAATTTTATATATAACTCGAGACATGTTACATTTAACTAAAACAAAAGTGATAGGATATACAGCTTTTCTTATGGGAGTAAATAATCGTCCTCAATCCTCCTTCTTTTGACAGATATGTTCACTGATAACTCACTGATATGTCACATATGTAGAAATATATATACTTTGACTATGTATGTACATACACATGGACTGCTAGTCCCTCATTTTTGCTATAGGAAATGCGTACTCTCGGCACAATTATTAGGCCGCGGTCTATACAATAGATGTCCTTGTTTATCCTGTAGGTTAAACAAAGACACCTATCGTATAAGTCGCGGACTAAGCGTACGGTGTAAACGTAGCCAATAGGTCTATTCGCGTTGCTTGCACTTTTGGCACTCGGCATCTTCGCTTTCTCTCTTTTCAAGGCCAATATATATCTATCTCATTTTAAGTGTAAAAATATTTAGGGATTTCATGCAACGCGAACAGACCTAATATATACTGTGCTCTCGGTGTCGCCGAACTGAAGTTGGCTGAAGATTGTTAAGGTACCTTTTCATGCCAACACTCGACGCTCATTTTCAGGGTCAAATAGGTCACGTGACCAAAATTAACGCTTGATATTCGTCAATTTCTATCATGTGATTTATATTGACGCCGAAAATGAGCGTCGAGCGTCAATATGAAAAGGTACCTGTAGCTCCGCCCCGGACAGTAAAGACTGGGAAATTCAAATGCGAAAGTTGCCATGTTTTTTATAGTAAGACTTTTTCAAGTAGAAAAGGTTTAAATTCATTAAATATTTAGTTGAGAATTGATAGGAAGCCGGAAAAAATCTGAAATGGATGGAAAGGGGACGTAGTATTGTTTTTGAGATTTTGCTATCTGTTACAAGAATTTGTATGTTGATAATAGGGATATAAAACAATGAAAATAAATAAAACTAATAATTTTAGCAATAAATAATGAGAAAAGTATTTAATGAAAGGTAATAATAAATAATTTTTCGTGATTATCTTTGAAAGCACTAACTTTTAATATTATTTTTTTTAATCAAAATTGAAAAAATAATTTAATAAACTTGTCACCAATTATAGGCGCATCCATGTATAATATTGCACTGATCATGACAAGTATTTACATTAACAGAGAAATATTAATAATAAATTAAGATAATTTATGAAGTAATTAAATAAGAAAAGAAATCATAAAAATAATTATTATGAAACAAAATACAATTATTAAAAATTGATTAAATAAAGTTTTTAAAAATTTGGAAAAAAAAAATAGAAATATACTTCTTAAAGACATACCTTTTGCGTGTATGTTCATCCTTAATTTCTGAGTACATTATATATTAATAGGAATTAAGTTACTTGTAGGCAGGCAAGAGTAGGATGGTAAGAAAGTTGCACACCGTAAACGTGCATATACTATAGTCAAATCTCCCTACTCCCGCAGAAAATTAATGTCCGGGACGGGCCTAATTTTCCAGTTTGGCGACACGTCTGAAGTTAGTTACTGGTAGTCTATGGCTGCGTTCAGCAGACTCAACAGTTTTGCAACCGTTTTATGATTGTCTACTGAGATAGGACCATTCTTCTAGATCTAAAAGTATGATCCAATCAGCGCGAAGGAAACTTCCAACAGTTGCAAAACAAACGTTCTGCTGAACGCAGCCTATGTGTATATAGTCAAAGTATATATATATATATATTATGGTAGAATTAAAGAGACCATTTTTGCGCATGCGTAGCTACGTTGATATCCGATGATTGGTATTAGGTCTGTTCGCCTTGCTTACACTTTTTACACTCAGCATCTTCGCTTTCTCTCTTTTCAGCGCCAAATATATATTTATCTCATTTTAAGTGTAAAAAGTGTACGAAAGTGTAAGCAAGACGAACAGACCTATTATCAACTATTGATATAAATTTTCCAATCGCCAATATCTTGGTATTCTAAATTTATTATTTATTATTATATATATAGATGTTTCATAAATAAGAACGCATATAATTATTATTCATATATATTGTTAAAATTGCATTTTTTTCTGTTATTATTATCGACACATCTGCGTGCATCAAGAGTACGTTGTATCAGCTGAAAAATGAATCTTACTATGTAGTTTACGTTTACATACACTTTTTCAGTTGGCGTTAGTGCGCGAAGTTAGTCCTACAAAAAAATTGACGTGATATCTTTCAGATTTTTGTTGACTTATTTGGTTTTATATCATTCTAATTGATTCTAATATGAACACGTGACAACACAAATAGCGAGTATAAAGAAAGATTCTCCTATCTTAGAGAGTTCAAGAGAGTTGTTCAAAAGCAATCTAGAACGAAGGAAACCGCTTGTGTATAAAATATCGGCCCGAATCGGCATACAAGTACCGATAAATATGCTACTGCATTTATAAAGATTTTATATTTTCCATTTTTGATGATAAATATTATCATAAATAGACGTAAGTTCTTTTGTATCATAATATCAAAATTAATTAGAATTAATTATTATTTGATGTTTATCTTCGTTAGTAGATACGACTCGTATAATTCGTTTAATGCATGCAAATATATATGTTCATAATTACATGTTCTATTAATTCAAAAATTTTATTGTATCGATGTGTACATAACCATTCAGAGAAACTAAAACGAATTTGAGATATCAATTTATTAATTTAATTGGATGCATTTTAATGAGATAATTTTAATCACGATTTCAATATATCTTAATATAATAATTATTTCCTGAATATATTTAACAATGTCACTTGTATTTTTACTGCTTTTAAAATTTTATGTAATCTACTAATGAATATGTATCGTATTTTATCATTTTATCGTTTTACTGCTTATTTTTATATTTCAGAAATATTTTAGTTTTTATATTGTTATTATTATTATCATTATTATTGGAAATGAACAAAATAGAAAAAAATGTTGAAGGAAAGATACACACAGTTACAGAACATGATGAGAAACTTCACAATGAAGTCAGGTAAAGTAGATGGAATTTTGCAATATAAGTACATATTAATATTTCTTATTATACATATAATTCAAAAATTATTTGTAAAAATAATTTATATGTTTAAGTTTGAATATATTTAATATTTTATTTGTCTCTTTTATTTTGTTTAAGAATAATAGGAAATTTCAATTTTTTTGCAGTAATTTTCTTCCACGAATTACCAATAGGAACTCAGAAGAGAAAATTACAATGGCAGATGTAATGCCACAGGCAAGTTTTCAATATCTTATACACATATACACGCATATATACAGGTACAGCAATTTTATAAATACAATATACTTACAGATAATTTATAAATATTATAAATAATTATGATACAAGATGATTGACTAAAATAAATAATTACATATCTTTTAGATTATTGCAAGCTGTATAATCCATTGTATGACCATAAAGAGTGGTATAAACATGGCTTACAGTACTATTTTATTAGATGGTTTAGAATCGGATAATGTTGATATGAAAGTAACTGGAAGTGAAGCGTCTTGGATAGGTACATGTTATGATAAAATTTTATATTTGTTTTATATTTGCTTAAGGAGTACACCATAGATTGTTTAGTAGAAAAGAAACTAGAATTGTTATTCGTAGTGCTATTTGATATTAGGTAGAATTGTAGTAATATTATGTATTATTTTACATTTATTTTGTTCTACAGCGAGTCTAGTTACAATAACATTGCCAATAGGATCTCTCATTGCTGGGCCTCTAATGGATAAATTTGGACGCAAAATAGTTTGTTTATTATCTTGTATTCCTGCAGCAATATCATGGGTTTCATTGATATTTGCCAAATCCTTAATAACTATTTATGCGGCTCGAGTTGTAGCTGGAATCTCGGCAGGCTTAACAACTGTTGGTCTGGTTTATATATCGGAAATTACACATCCACAAATCAGACCAATGCTTCTATGCCTTACTTCTGTGTTTGTTTCATTTGGTATTTTAATTCCCTGTTGTTTAGCTGTAATCCTAGATTGGCGCAAGATGAACATAATTTTCTTTGTATTAGAGTGTTTTATTTTCTTTATACTTTACTTTGTACCTGAAAGTCCCTACTGGCTCGTATGTTTTCAAAATGGTATGTTTGATGAAAAACGAATTTGTAAAATGAAATGCAGTTTGAGGCAACTTAACAAAAAGCAAACAGTGAGTACGATATAGCAAGTTTTGCAATATCTATTCGGAATATATTTCAGAATGTCAACAGATAAATGTTTTCTAGATTTATGAGGAAGAATATTCGCGAATCATGGAGACTTGTGGGAACCGTGTAATGAATGATAAAGCGTCAACAAATATTATAGTATCTGTAAAAAATTATTACCACACATTTGCATTCCCGGAAGCCTATAAGCCTATGCTGATACTTTTCGCATTATTTTTGTTGCAACAATTATCTGGTTCTTATGTGATCATATTTTATGCTATTTCTGTTTTTCGCGAAATGGGTGGAACATTTGGCGATTTTAATGAACACGGTGCACTCGTTATGTTGGGTACCATTAGATTCGTTATAAGTATAGTAACAGTTTTTTGTAGTAGAAAATATGGTAGAAGAGTCCTTTGCATCTTGAGCGGGATTGGAATGGCTATTTCCATGTTTCTTTCTGGAATGTATATGCATTTTGCAGTGTCGTACGATGAAAATGGTAATACAGAGGAAACCATGGTGGATCAAAAGTGGTTATTACTATTCTTCGTATTAGCTTACATTTGCACTGGTTCATTTGGATTTATAATTATACCATGGACATTAATTGGAGAATTGTTACCTGTGTCCATACGTGGTATTGGTGGAGGTATCATGGTTTCTTTTGCTTATATAATCATGTTTGCTGTTATAAAGAGTTATCCGTACATTTTGAAAAGCATGACCATCGAAGGCATTTTTTTCTTTTTTAGCTTCGTGTCTTTAATAGGCGCAGTTTTTATATACTTTTTTCTGCCTGAAACTTTAGGCAAATCATTTTCTGATATTGAAAAATTTTTCTCTTCCACAAGAAAGAAAAAAATGCATGATGCAAAGAGATCTGCTAATTCCGGAGATCCTTGATTTTTGTCGCTTTCACTTGGGTTTTATTTGTGTGCGTTTTGCATGATGTAGTATTTGTAAAATTTCTGTTAGGGGAGACGGGACTGTTAATATTATGTACAGGAGACATTTTAATGTCTCAATATTAATCTTGGTAATAAATTGAAAAAAATATAATTAACAGAATAATTTTGTATTTAGAATATTGTAATTGTGATCTTCCTTATATAGGCGAGTAATTTATTTATAAAGATGTCCTTACACAATCATCATAGATATCATTTTGATAATAGATTCCTTGACTGAATTAGTATCGATTTTTCCTCGCCGAAAATATTAAAAAATTAATGATTTTCGAATTATAAATAATCAAAAGGATCTTTTACAAATTAAATTTAAGAGAACTAAATGAATAAGAAAGGTGCATTCTTTAACTGATTTCAGATAATTTATTTTTAATTTGAATTTCAAATTTAGTTACAAAAGTAATATAAAAGATTGGAAAGAGTCACGGTAGATAATGATCTCTTATTTAATATTTTTGCTCTGAAGAAAACTATTTTTTAGAGACAACCAAATAGTCTACTGTCATTAAAAAGACATCCACTGATTGGAATACTTGATACATTTACGGTATTTTTGCTTTAATGCGTTTATTGTTACTAAATATGTACAGATTCAACTTAATTATTCGTATAAGCGGATAATTTATCGGACTTTTTTTTATAAAACTCTTTTATGCAATAAAATGTAAAAAGTAATAATTTTATGAATTTTACAAAATCTTTGCAATGTAAAAGAGCAAGAAAATTTTATTTAGATTGCTAGTAAGGCATGCTTATAGTTTGTCAGCAGATATGAGTAGAAGAATATTAGGGCAAATTAATGCCAATTTATAATTAAGCCTGTCGTGCCAGTAGAGTAGAATTTGCCTATATTTTGACAACAACAGAAGATTGTCAATAGAAACTGTCGTTTTATAATCATCACTTCATTTATTAGGCTACATTATTTAAATATGAAAATGACATAGACTCTACTCGATTTGCACAATGCTATTATATATTTTTTTGCAGCAGATTTTGTTATACTTGGCTTGCTATACTGACAAGATTTGCGGCAGTCACTTTGCAAAATCTGTTTTCGACAGATTGGTTATCTAGTAGTTGATATCGCACACCCCATATGTTATTCTGCGACCTTACAAAAGAGAGAGCGATAGATAGATACATGTATATTAAATGTACAACCGGTTGGAGCAGTTCCATTACGGACACTGATACATATTTAAATTTAACCTTTTCCTTTCTTTCGTTCTTTTTCTTATGTCCATAACGAGCAAGCATATCCAGTACATTGCATTAATATTAGAACATATGCAGCGTTATTACTACATTAATACGATAATTTTCAAATGTGTGCACAAAGTAGGTCGTAGGAATGTTTTAATTCTGAATTTTAATTCACCTGTTACAGATGTGCACGTGATATGAATGAAATATACAACGAGCGATACCGAGCGATACCTCACACGTCTGACAAGTGTTGCTCCATCATAACCTAACGACAACATCCTTATCAACATTAACAAGAACAGCATGTCAATTATCTGATTGTCAGGATGGTATACTCTTGAAAAAGATGATGCTTACTCGCCGCAAGTTTTTGCTGAAACTGTCATTTTGCACATTGTACATAATCGGTATTTTAATCATTGTTAAACAATTCTTTCGTACCAATGACAACTCCAGGATTTCTAAAGAACAATCTGAATATCTAAGAAATAGCAATAACTCACAAACACAGAAAGATGTGGACGTTGCATTACAGAGATTACAAATAGAGAGGTAAATTTGTTTGATGCTGCTTTCTCTAATAATAGCAATTTATTTATCCACAAATTTTATGTAATTATCTTTCTTTGTTTTTTACTGAATCAAAATATACTAGACTGATGTGATACTAATAAAATAATTGTTAAAATAACAGTATTTTGTCTAATGTGATATTAGACCAAAATGATATTTTATAAGGTATGAACAACAAATATCAAAATTTGAACATGATATTGTACCTGGTCTTGGGAACAATGGGGAACCTGCTTATTTATATGGAAGAGAGAAGATTCTAGGTGAAGCAGCACTTGCAAATAAAGCATTGAATGTCATTCTCTCAAATAAGATATCATTAACCAGAAAATTACCAGATATACGTGACCCACTGTAAGATTTTAATATGTATAGAATAGCGCGTTTGAAAAGATTATTTTTATATAAATATAAATTATATGTAAATATATATATATAATATTCTTAGAACTTTGTATTTTTAAATGAACTTTATATTGCAGATGTGTGAATGCTACGTATGACAAATTATTACCAAGTACTAGTATAATAATTATTTTTTATAATGAACCATGGAGTGTTCTATTACGCACAGTACATAGCGTTTTGAAGGGTTCTCCACCTAATTTATTAAAAGAAATTATTTTAGTGGACGATCATAGTCAAGAAGGTATTGAAATTAATATGATTAATATATAAATTAATATATTAGTGGTTTTCAAAAATGTATATTTGCCAGATAAGTTGTATGTCAGGTTGTGCATCATTTTAAGTTAGCAGTAATGCTCGCGAAATACTTTTTCTATAAAATAATCTTTATATAAGAGATAAATTATTACATAATAAAATGATGTAACATTTAATATTATGGGAATTCAATATATTAAATAATTAATGTTATATGTAAAATGTATTTTGTGTGTTAATTTGTAGAAGAGCTTCAGGGACAATTGGATTATTATCTTTTGACGCGTTTACCTGCCAAAGTAAAGCTACTGAGATTATCACATCGACAAGGATTAATACGAGCTCGTCTTCATGGGGCTAAAAATGCTACAGGCGATGTTCTTGTCTTCCTGGATGCACATTGTGAAGTTATCAAAGACTGGTAATTTTCTGATATTAATTTAACTAGAAGACAATATTTTTCCTATATCTTTTATATCCTAAAATTATTAAAATAAGAGAAAACTTTATTAATATATACTATTTAATATAATGTAGGTTACAGCCTTTGCTGCAACGAATAAAGGATAATAAAAATGCTGTACTAATGCCAATAATTGATAACATTTCTGAGGAGACATTAGAATACTTCCACGATTATTCCTTTCTAGTTGGTGGTTTTACATGGTCGGGACATTTTACATGGATAGATGTTCAGGAACACGAAGTCGAATCGCGTTTCTCTCCTATATCACCAACTAGATCTCCTACTATGGCAGGCGGTCTATTTGCAATTAATAGAAAATACTTTTGGGAAATCGGTAGTTATGATGATAAGATGGATGGTTGGGGAGGCGAAAACTTGGAAATATCTTTCCGAGTGAGTGAAATTTTTTAAGTATGTTTATTAATAAGCTTGTAGTATAATTATAATTACAAGCATGTGCTAAAAATTTTATATTCGTGATATAAATTGGTATTCTGTAACAGATTTGGCAATGCGGTGGCACACTAGAAATCATTCCTTGCTCTCGAGTTGGACATATATTTCGAAACTTTCATCCATATAATTTTCCAAACGATAAAGATACTCACGGAATAAATACTGCTCGTTTAGCATTTGTATGGATGGATGAATATAAAAGGTTATTTTTACTTCATCGTAGTGAATTCAAGGTAAGATCAGACATTACGTGATTAAAATCCTTTTGCATTGCAATTATACAGATAAATAAAATCCACAGGACAATCCAGAACTCATTGGAGATATAAGCGAACGTTTGGAATTGCGGAAAAAGCTCAAGTGTAAAAGTTTCAAGTGGTATCTTAATAATGTTTACCCACAAAAATTTATCCCTGATGAAAATGCAATAGCTTATGGTCGTGTCAGATTGCGCAATAGACGACTGTGTTTAGACAATCTGCAACATGAGGATGATAAACCATATAATTTAGGATTATATAATTGTCACTCTAAGCTATATCCAAGTCAAGTATGTAAATATCAGTACAGATCACATTAACGTACTTCTATTCGAATTTAAATTTAAAGAAATTAGTTGTATTTGGGCAATTTTTAGTTTTTCTCATTGAGCAAGTCTGGTGAATTACGGAAAGAAGAGATCTGTGGAACAATATTGAATACTGATTCAAGACCGTATACACAAATTGAAATGTCTGACTGCAGCAGTAAGAAAGACGGAAAGGAATGGATATTAACAAAGGTGCTATATTAATTTTTAATATTTAAGTATTTTTACATAATTCGTGAATGATTAAAAAATGTATTGTGTATCACGATTTTTAATCATAGGATGGCAGAATAATACATGTAGAAACTGGTCTATGTCTCGATGGTTCTAAATTGCACAATAATGAAGATGTACGAGCAGCTCGCTGCACTAATGCACCAGATCAGTTTTGGAAATTTGATTTTTACTCTAATAAAGTATTGTCTACATAGCATTGTGTTGTTCTTCTATTTTACTAGAGTATATTCAAAGCTTTTTTTACTCTTCGTAAAATGTATTTATATTTTCTGCAAATTTAAAAATGGTAATTATTACATTATGTTTATTATCACTAGAAAAATTTATATTTTACAGACTACCTTTTAAATTTAGAAAAAAGTGGCATTCATGTTTTATTTTTTTGGGGAGGGGCTTACAAAATTTTTTTATTTCTTTATCTTTTGTATCATTAATAAGACTTTTAAGCAGAATTTTGCATTTTGACTTTTAAAAATTTATAATAAATGAAAATGTCTTCTGCGCCTTTTAATTGTAATACGATATAATTTTAGCAAATTTTTATTTTGACATTTTTTATAAATAATCGTTTTGTCAATCCTGAAAATTGTTAATTTATAATAAATATTACATTTTTTAATATTTTTGCCGCAATAGAAAAAATACGGGTCTGTAATTCATAATTATTCCGAATGGTGTCTCTATAGTCTCGGTCTTTCCTGCTAACTTAACTAACCTCTACTGGAGATTAGTAAGAAATTTTATGTCAAATAAGTGATAATAATTAGAATTGTTTAAAGGTATTCAATTTAAATCTTTCCGAAAAAAGACAGATATTATGTTTTGACATTTTCATACAAAAAATAGCTATCACATAGTTCAGTATCAAAATAAGAAAAAATTTTGACATATTTATAAATATCAGATATGAAATGTCCATATAAACAGATATTTAACACATTAATCCTAATATAATTTTTGTTTTATTCATATTTCAGGCAAATCTAATTGATATTAAATGACAAATTATTATAAACTAATAATTAATACTGTAATTTTCAAAAACTTGAAATTGTTGAAGTACATGTGCACAAGTTAGCTTATTTTTGTTAACAGTTACTTTTAAGATATTTATTTGTATTTATATGTATTAAAAAGTGTATTAACATTATATTATGAGATGGAATTGGCAAAAGAAATTGTCGATGGCCTGGCAAGCATCCAAAATAGCAACATTTTGCCTGAAGAAGCATTTCTACAGTTATTAGATATTATAATGTTATATATTTCTAAAAACAATGGAAAAAGTAAATAAGTCTTAATTTTCCTCAAAATACAAGAATATTTGAAATACAAATGTTTATAATTAATTATATCTTTTATATCAGGTATCGCAACTATTCATCCATCCAAGTCAGATTTGATAAAGGCTGCAGTTTCTAATGTATCCTGCCTCTTTATAGAGGCTGCTCGACATGATTACGATGAGGAAAGCTTAAAACATTTTCTACATAATGAACATATTAATGGACATAGAATTGAAACGCTATGTAGTACATATATAAACAATAAACAAAATATCCAGACTCAACTGGAATTGATAGGAAATAGTTTACCTCATGTAGTGGATATAGATTGGCGTTTACATCATTGTGTTAAGGTAAATTCACTAGTCTCTCTCTAGTAATGTTATATATATTATGTTACCTCACATAATGTAATTCAACAGTTGAAAATAATTTCTTGTAAATTATATTATGTAATCTATATATATAAAAATTAAATATTTTGTTTTTTGATGCAGATTAGCACTCGGTTTACCAACATACCAATTTATAACATACGAATAAGTACAAAAGAATGTGATCAAATGAGACATGTAATATTTACATGTACTATACAACAGCTACAAGAGTTGGTATACAAGTTGAAGGATGCTATAAGACACATTGAAAAAATGTCTAATATATAAACTTCTAATGAGTGATTATAATGTACAGTTAATAGTCTTTTTTCAGTTTTGCTTTGGCAATAATTTAAGAATAATGTTTTATATGAATAATAGTTTTCTGTAAATGCAGTCAATTATATTTTTCATAATTAGTGAAGAGAATCTTTGAATTCCATGTAGAATCTATTTTTTTTTCATGTGTTTATATATGTATATGCATATACATATACGCCTATATAAAAACTGCTTAAAAATACATCTTTTATTTTGCAGCCCAGTTTATTTAAAATTTTGTTTTTGTTAGACGTATTATAATGTAGAGTTTATCCCTTTATATAATTAATTAAATATAAAGTTGTGTTAATTAATAATTCTTTTTCTATTACTATATGTAATATATATTTTATAATCATAGTACATTATATACAAATAAAATTTTGCATATCTAAGAGAAATTAATTTTCAATTATTAAAATTATTTAGCAAACAAAATTTTTCACTTTGTTGATGTTTTTCTCAAATTATGCTCAAAATATTTACTCTTTCATCAATACGCACGATCATATAAACGGACAAAACGCATAAATATATTAAAAAATGGAAGTATATGTGGAGATAGATAAATAAAGATGAGAAAGAAAACAATGGAGAAAGCTTGGAAAGTACAAACATAAAACGAAGAAAGTGAACAAGTGGGAAGTGGAAAGACAGAAAGACAGAAAAATATTATACTTTACGACTAATAATTTTGCTTTGTTAAAATATTTTCTCCATCTCTAGGATGAAGTAACGTAATGATCACAGTGTTTAATTGTCAACTAATTTTTTTGTCGTAGTTATATCGCATACAGTTTATCATTTTTATTGTTCCATATTAATTATTCGATATATGATAGGATAAGGCCTCGGACATTTCACTACCATTAGCAGTCTTCGAATATTTTCAAAATTACCCTCGAAATTACATTGTTTTTGTTTCGATATCGGACTGGTCTTAAAGCAAAAAATGTTTAATTTACTCATAGTAAATGTGAAAACAATGAATTCTCTAACGAGATTTTACATAACTTTGATAACAAGGATAGTTATTTTACAGCGAATTTTTTCCGATTTTCGTTTTTTTTAAATTACTATCTTCATAAGTTTCTAATGAGTGTACAGTGAAGAACAAAAATGCTGTTCAATTCAGATGTAAGGCTTATTCCTTTTAGTTGAACTTCTTGGACGGTTTATCTTTTCTGTTTTTCTTTTTACACGGGAAAGAAAAAAAAAAAGAGATAAACTGTGCAAGTTCAGCTAAAAAGAATAGACCTACAAGTGAATAAAAATACCGTTGCACCGAGTTTTTTCTCTACAAATCTCATCTTTTTCTCCAGCAATTGATCAGATAGTCAGCCACTGAGGAGAAAGCTCAGTGCAAATGCAATTTAGTTTCTCTACATCAGAACAAAATAGCATTTTGACTCTCGAATGTACAAAATGACATTTAAATTCAATTTTATTTTTACATACTTTAACTGATATCTAATGTGATAAATACACATGCATATACACATTAATGTTATAACAAAATTAATGTTATACAAAAATATATTACCTCAAAAAAATATTAATCGAAAATGTATGTATAAGTGCGTAAAAATATTAAAATTGAAAATGAAGTTTTCTCACGGAAATATTATTGCATCACATAATATAATCCCGTATAATTCCTTTTAATATAAATAAAGGGTCTTTCAAAAATATTCAATGCTGCGGACTATATAAATTTTTGTTATCAACCTTATGTGATATAAAAATGTATAATTTAAATTTAGGTAACATTATTATTAATTTAATTACCTTAACTATATACTTAATACTTCTTTTATACACATATTTGTGTGCTCATTATATGGGTACTCTCTTCTACTACAAAGAACTATGTGTTGACACGTTTTTCATAAACATGTTTTTCCATAATTACATTTCTCGAAAAAGTGATCGCGACATTTTTAGTTACTTAATGCTAAGGAATAACTTTGCATCCATTTAATATGCACGAGAACGCATATTATGTCATTAAGACATTTAATGTGTTATACATTATGCTATTAATTAACAAATTAACAGCAAGCGTATGCACTAAGAGAGATACAAATCATATAGTTGATTTAAATATATAACTTTAATGATAAACCTGTTTTCCAAGTATTTAGTGCACAACTTGTATCCATATCCGTGAAAAATATATGCTTCATTATATATTGCAATATATATAAAATATGTGTAACGAAGAAAAATATGACATAGAGACTGCCTCCCACTCGAAATATATTACTTTTTTTCCGCTACTCGAGACACATTTCTTTTTTATACAGAAACTTTTTTATATATAATTTTCATACAGAAATTTTTTCATATAGAAATAATTTTACATACATTTTGATAAAATACTGTTTAATAAAATTTCATCATACGACATTTAATAAGAAATATACATTAGAGAATTGTTAGAGATTGTAATAGGAAAGAGTCAAGTAACAAAGAGTCACTTTCGTTAAATAGAAATCGATTTAGAAACCATTTAAAATGAATAATGTACGACTAAAAGGAAAGACATATATATACAATTGAAGTGGGATACGCCGTGTATACATATATCTGTACATGCAAATATAATAACAACGGAGAGTTAACATCATTAACGTCGTTAACGTTAATAACGGTGTTGGATATGCATATGAAAATTCAGACGATCATAATTATATATCTCATCCAACGTATACCTATAAAATAATATATTCAACGTAGTGTCATATAACTCATTTATAATAAAAAATAATTAAATCTTTCACAATTGCTATTTACAAAAATGTACAAATTCCTAACACTCTTGAAATCTTCAACAATGATCATAAGTGCTTTTTTTGCTGCTTACACAATGGGCATATTGTAAAAATTTCTCATTCAGCTTGTAACAGGCTTATTTTCCGATGTTTTCTTCATAACTCGTGCAGATGTCAAGCGCGGTTTTTTATAAATATCCAAATATGTATATATATATAAATACATACATATTCAATCATGCAGTTGGAAACATTAGAATTACTGGCAGTAAACATCAGAATATGGGCTGTGTATAAGCTTGTTCAGGATTGACCTTACACTTGAGCCACGCCATCTCGAATTAAATGCAACTGATACGCGTAGCAAGATTTTTATGACTCGCATCTAAAGACGATTAATCCTCTCTTGATCACGTCTCTGCCTTATTTTTTTGTACTTCAGATTTATTACCCTGTATCTGCTCACTGCTCTTGCCGAGATCTTCGTTCTTGGAACCGTCTGCTGACGAGTCATTGATATTGGCTTGTGTGTTACTCTTCGGAATACTATTCCGTTCTTTGGGTGAAGACCGTTCTACTTGGCCCTCTCGTTCGGTCGTCTCTGCTGTCGTAGTCTTCTTCTCGTCATTACTATCGGCTTCTTTAGATTTCTTACTTGCAAATTGTTCTATTGTAACATCGCCGTTGATTTTGGCTGCTTGGTTCTTTTCCTTTTTGTCGTGCAGGCTCGCAGCATTGTCAGCAACTTCTACACTGCATTTCGCTTCCATAAGCTTCGCCTTGGAGCTGTCTTCTTTACATCGCGCGGTCTCTTGTACCTTTCGCGCCTCTATTTCTTTACCTTGTTTTCGTTCATTAGCGCTACTTGGCGAGCTCGAATTCTCGGGTACTTCGGCGTTTGCCGTAATCGCCACCAAGTTGAGCGAAGAAGAGTTCGATTTAGCGAGCTGCGCCTCAACGTTGGCATCGTTCGTGTCCATCGTGGACGATGTTTTGACAACGTTGGACGTCGGACTTGATGACAAACCGCCAGTTTTGGATAGATTGAACGCGTTGAGTTCTCGTTGCAGTGACACAGACACTGGTACGGCTACGCTTTTGGAGAGAAGTAATGCGACATTGCCCACCGTCGACGTGATCGGCGACTGCGATTCCACCTTCCCAAGATTGAACGTAGATGAGATCGAGCTAGGCGACGAGGCCTTGGGCGACTTTGGCGAGGATGAATGCGTGCTGGGTGGTATTCTCTGTACCGTCGGCGATTGGCCAACCACTGGCGCGTAACCAGTAGTCTGCGGTATATAACTCGATCGCTGATACAGTTTGTTGATCGAAGGCGGTAGACTACTGTGGAAGGCACTAGGAGGCCGAATGCCGATAGGCGATCGTATCAAAGGATTCGGAAATCGGCTTGCGTCTGGGAACGGAGACGGAAAATGAGAATATATGATCCGGGGATTCGTGTTGGGCGTGGGAGATGGTATGAATGGATTAGTCGACAACATATTTACCGGAGAATTCCTTGGCGATATAGGCGAGCCGGAGTTTCGACATATATCCCGTGAAAACGGGGTATTCTGATAGCTTCGAGCGTTCGGCGAATAAAGTGGTGGTGAAACGATCGGTGAATTAATCGTCGAGACGATGGGCGACAAAGTCTTAGGATCGATTTTCATCATATTGAGAGTACCACCCTTCGTATTGGTTGTCGATTGGTCTTTCTCCTTCGTGTCGCTTGCGACCCCGTACATGGGCTTCACACCTGATGCGGGATTACCCAAGTATCGTGGCATGTTTCGCATCTTGAAGATTTTAGCCGGTTTAGATGGGATCTGCTTGTTCGTACTCTCGGACATAGAAGTCTGAGTTTGATTTTGCATCTCCTTCGCCTGATTCTTCGCCGCTACGTAATTATTTTTCGATAATGTAGGGTTCCAAGACTTGGGTGGATCGCGCAACGTTTTATATCCAATCGATTGATTCTGCTTCTTGAGAGGCGCTAATCTCTGGATTGCGTGAGACGACGCCGGTACCGAAGACGTTGACACCGCCAGCACATTGGCAGATGTAGACATAGGTAAGGCAGGCTTGGTGTTTTTATCCATTGTCGTCGCATTACTACTTGGAGTGTACACTGGTATATTCGGGATATTCGGTATATGCTTCATCGCTGTATCTGAATTGATGGGTAATAATGGCGAAGGATTCTTCTTCGCGCTTATTCTAAGCAGATCTGGCACTTCCGACTTATGCGCATCTACCCTGTTCTTCTCCT